GGTGGGAAAAAATAAAAGAGGAAAAACAGTATAACCATCCCTCAGACTGAACCTGTAACGTTTCTTCCTGCCAAGAGACAGCCGCACGGCCACCTTCCCCACGAGCACTCGGTGGAAGCCCCAGCGCCTCCAGGGAACTAAACCTTTGCGGAGTGTCTCCTGAAGTCAAGAACTGAGGCCTGGAAATCATTTGTTAGTTTCCAAAATGGTATTTATTTACTTAGAAATCTTAAGCAGCACATATGCTAATCTTAATGCAAAGAAGTAAGTGTAAATACCAAAAATAGCCTAACAAAATAACTAATTTTCAAAAAGAAATAATGACCTGGATTTTAAAAAGCAAAATGTCAGTAACTGCACCCTAAGAATTCTAAAAATCTCCCCATGACAGACCTCACTGCCCTTCACACTTCTCTTCCAAAACGGTTTGCCTCAACTACCAGCATTTTTACACGGCCTGTAAAAGGCGTGCGGCAGCAGCCTGGAGGCGCAGGGACAGATCCCTGCGCTGCTCTCAAGGGCAGGGGTCTGCGCTTCTGGAGAGGGGCAGGTGTGGTCACTGTCCAGAAGCCTGGTCGTGACCGCGGGCACCAGCTGCACAAGAGGGACACCGCTTCCAGGGCACGTTCCCCTCCGGCAGCGGCCCTGAGGACCCGCAACCCCCTGCACGCGCTCTGCAGCGAGGAGCAGCCTCCTCGCCTTGCGCTGCCCCAGGCTGCCTTTCACCCGGTCAGCGCGCAACAAAGAGAATCCTCATTTGAAATGGAATACAAATAGGATTTCTATCCGTTTCCTGCACTGTCCCTATTAGGCATACAGTTCTGCTGTTTTTCATATACAACCTGTTTCCAAATTTCACAAAGAAGCAAAGCTGGGCCTCAGCAGGGTATTTTTCTGAATCTGTCAGATTTAAGACTACAATTAGTTTTGTCTTCCCCACCACAATTAAATTACTACATTTTTCTGAAAAAAAATGTAAGAAAATGGCAGTTACCACTTGACACAGAATAAATGCTTCTATGGGCTTAAAACAAACATTAATGTATCAGACTCATTTTTTTCACTAACTCCACCTCCCCCACCCTTTTTAAAGCAGAACTTGTTTTTGCTGAGGTCTCCACATCCTATTTACTGAATATTCGCAGTCATGGAAGGATCTAGAATCTCCTGTAAAAATTCCCTACCGGCAAATGTTCAGGGGGTAAAGCAGAGGCCAGGTCCCCACCCACCTGCCACATATGTTCAGCATGTTACTGCTTTACCTGGCAAGCTCCTATTCAACTCACTTGAAACAATTTCCTTCTGGGAAAAAAGTCAAAGTCAACAAAAAACTGCTCTTTAAATAGTGTTTTAACATGAAAATGACTAAAATTCATGTACCTGTGTAAAGAGAATCAGAGGAAGAGAAAACAAGATGGAATCAAACAGCTCACCTTGCGTACGGGATGTAAGACAGGCTATACCTGCAAGGAAAGTTCAAGAATGTTGAAACAATGACTAAAAAATACAAATGACTTTTTTCTTTTTTTAATACCAAATGGCCATACTCTAACACCGTAAGGAATGAAGCAGTAGAACACTGCAGTGATTCTCCGAGTAGGAGCCCTGACGAGGAGGTGGTAAGGCGTCACCTCAGAACTCGTCAGAAACGCAAATGCCTGGGGCCCACCCCATACCTCCTGAGTGAAAAACCGTGTCTTAGTCAACAGTCTGCGTTTTAACAAGCTCTCTAAGCGATTCTGATGCCTGCTGAAGCTTGAGCTTGTTATAAACAGAAAGTTAACCTTTAAAAAGAAAACTATAAAATAACTGAGAATAAACTGCATTCTCCTTTAGGGATCAATCAATTGCAGGTGAGCAATAAAAAGCAATATATTATAGAAAATAATCAAGATTTAAATTTTTCCACAATTCACTGAAAAAGAGTAATAAAACAAAATCATACGGTTCTTTTGTAACCTGTAGGGAACTGCATTGAACATTCACTGATATTCTATCAGCGGAAAGGTAGAAACAACACCAAAAGAAAGACTGAGCCCAGACTGGGTGATGCCAAAAAGGGGAGATTTAAAACAGGAAAATCAGGAAGGGGTTTACAGACATCACAAGGAAGCAAACAAGACTTAGTTCTAAAGAAAAAGGAAAAACACTCTTAAAAATATTTTATATGTAAAAACACCATTCTGGTCTAACACGAAAGCATACTAGGAGGGGCACAGTCAATTCAATCAAATATTCACTGGGCTGGGCACGCGGCTGGACAGGATATGGTCAAAGACACACGGGCAGAAGCTGATCAGGAAGAAACGGGCAGGCCTGGGCCCCGGGCGGAGAGGGAGAGGCAGAGAAGCGGTGCGGAAAGACTGTGCGGTCACTGGAGAGTCAGAAGACGGCTGCAGACGCTGCAGGGCCAGGGTCGGCTCTGGATGAAGCCCACCCTGTGGTGACCAGCGACACCGGGCAGAGTGAGTGATCACCAGTGTTCGCTCGGGCTCACGCCATGACTCGGCCTCGATTTTAGGGATCCCTGTGACATCACCTGCACTTCTCATCACTTCTCCTTCACACATCAGAAGAGAAGTGACTGTGTCACCAGGGGACCGTGGAAGCACAGCCGCAGCTCTCAGCACACCCAGGTCTTAGGTCCCACGGGACACACCACAGCCCTCAGGCATCTGACCTCCCGGGAGGCCAATGACCTTCCTAGCTCAACAGCTCAGAACGAAATGCTTGGCACTGTTCAGGAAATTAACTTTCTAACTAGTGCAGACTTACCAGGTCATCGACAGGAACTGCAATATGCAGAATAGTAAGGCCAGCCCCTTCTTGTGCCACTGACAAGGGCAAAGCAAAGAAATGATGAGTTAAGATTTTTTAAATATTTCTCACAAGCAAGTTCAATTCCTCCCCTTCAGAAAGGCAAATGACAGCTCCATTTATTCCATTCAACATTAGTAGGATAAATTTAAGATTCAGTAGATCTAAAAATTAAATATCCCAAAACTGGATTTTTCTAGAACCTCTGATTCCATTTATTCAAATGCCGTTAAATATATGGTATAAATATTAATGAGGCAACTGGCGTAGGTGAAAATGTTAAAACTCTTTAATGTTACATCTTTTAAGTCAAGGTTCACTTTGCTAAAATCAGCATTTAAAATCCCACCCAGTTCTTAGTCTGCAGCCTGTGCAGAATGTACTCATTCGCACTTGTTCCTTCTCTTATTTTTTTGAAATAGAACTGTGTTTTATTGTGATCATCCAGAATAATGTAAAATAAACAGTTTCCATGGTTGTTTCAAAATGATTTATTTTTAAAATTTCTTGTCCATCTTTTTAATTTTTATTTACTTCTTTTCTCATTTTTAAGCTACTGCTTATAAACAGATTGCTAGACAATTTCAAAGCAGAAACCAATTTTCCACAGGGTTTTGCAAAAATTATTTAAGAATATTCTTATTTACGTTATTGGGAAATGAAGTGTACGCACATGTGTGCATCACTAAAGGTCGGTCCTTGCCTCACCAAATGGAAGTCAGAACGTCTCTGACAGAACATCTCTGAGGAGTATTACACACCACCCTATCTGCTTTACAGCGTGCAGCATCCTAGAGCGCTCAGGAACCACCTCCGCCCCCTCTGGGGAGTAGATGGGAACACTAAATAAACTGCATGAACAATCAGGAGCATCAGGTAAACCGAGCTGCAATACAGTGACCTCTTTAAAGGCTAATGAAGAGCAGGTCACCTTAGGTAAGTGGTGCAAGAGTAACTCAAGCCCTTTTTGTCAATTTGTTCTGGCCTGTTTTCTGGCCCTTTCTCCTCATTAGTTTGGACACCTTGTTGCTCCTGATCCAGTCCCCGCGCCAGAGCCAAGCATAACGAGGTGAGTGAGCGTCGCAGACAGAGCGCACGCGGACACTGGGAGACGGCCTCACAGCCCCGGACCGGCCGCGGAGCCAGGCTGACCCGGACCAAGGACCTCGCCGCCGTTGGCTTTAGGCGGCAGAAGCCGTCACAAGTCTAGCCACTAACTGGATGTTGCTGCACATGGTTTTAGGGACACTGAATCTTTGGGTATTTTAAGAAACCAGACTTTGAGCTCCTTAGAGGTGATGGTGTGATGACACTTGACCTGGTGAGGGGCTACCTAGTTAGCAGAAAACAGGTGTGGCTGATGTCACTTACCCAGAGAGCAGCACACAGGGTAAGTACGAAACACAGCTACAGGAAAAGAAAGAACAAACTGCATGTTTGAGCCTTTCCAAAAGGTTAACAAAAATGCACATGCTATTCTGCTTTCATTTGCATAAAATACTTCACAACAAATTTAACAAGACCGTTTACTCTAGTTGTATTTACAAATCCCCCGAGTATTATTTTACTTTAAAGTCTGTGGCTGCAAGATTCCTTGGCAAACTGAAAGTATCTAGTAAGTCATCTGCTGATTAAGCCGACAGAGAGACTGAAGAATGAGCCAGAGTGACAACAGCCGCTGGTGGGAACATATGAATGCTCATGTCGCCCTCAGTCACAGCAAACCGCCAACCCGGATTCAGTACAGCCCATAACACACGGTGAGCGCTCCTGCACTGGCTTTACAGGAGGCACCTACTAGACTGACTTCACACAGAAAGACTGCACTGTCATCCCACACTTGTGTCCTCCACGGAGGCAGGTGGCAGCAACATGACAGGTCTAGACACAGGGACTTAGGTGTTTGAGCAACAGTCAGACAGGGCGGGGACAGAAGCCAGGTGGCAGGCTATTTGAATTAAGCCAACTCTCCCAAAGAAGACTCAGATGGACCCAGAAGTGACCTGTCCTCCAGTCCCACTCTCCAAAAGTGCACACAGTGGTCCATTAAGAAATGCTCTCCTGGGCGTGAATATGAAACACGTGCACAGCTCTAATTTCCATTTGAAATACCCAGAACAGCACTGTTAGATGTATGCAAAAGAAACAAATTCGCCCAGCCAAGCATTCTAGGTAACGCTGTATAACCCAAACTCTTCAAACACAGTCTGAAGAACATGTTCGTTATATTCAACAAAAGAAATATAACAATAGTACAGACATGAGAGTGGGTAATAAGTCATAAAATAATGCAAAAAAATTCAATGAAAGTTTTTTTTAATTATCATTATTTACTCACAAGCATAATAATCGTTGCAAGCAATCGTGTTGTTTCAAACATTTTCTTCAGCTGCTTCATGGGCCCCATTAAAAAGCACGTACTATTTGAAACAAATAAAAGAACTGAGAGATGGATTTATTAATTTGTCTAGCTATGTAAAAATAAGTGCTTTGAAGAAAAGAAATCCTACGTGAGTTTAATTTAAAAAGCTCACTCACTGGTTTTTTTTTTTTAGCATTAGAAGGAAACTTTAACCCTTTCGTTTTCTGTGACACATGAATGCATCATTTTACAGCCACAGGTGAACAGGACAGCTAGGCCAGCTGACAAGGTGGCTTGTTTTCATCTGTGGCAGTTGGGCCCTACCACCATCCTTGTCTGCACGCACTGCACTTGGAGGTTCTTACACCCTCCAAGAGAGCCGTGAGGGTGAAGCTCCTGACAGCGACGCGGCAGGAGCTGCTCCATCGGGTCCTCTGGGACCGCAGGAGGCACCCAGGGACCAGCTGCAGAGGGCACGGCCGCCCACTCGCCAGCACCTCCGCCCCACCACGTCCCCAGAGAGACAGGCGCTCACCTCTGAAAGCTGAGAGCTCGTAACCATGACAGCTGCTCCACCAGAGATCAACCCCCAAAGACGGGCCCCAGGCCCTCAGAGAGGACACCCGACACCCCGCCCACAGGGCCTTGGGGGCACTGCCGCTGTGCCTGGGGGCCTACACTCACGGACTCTGGAGGCCTGTCTGCTGGAACTGGCCTGGTCACCTCCCTCGGCACATTCCCGGGGCCTGAGTGACTCTCTGTGCCACTAACCCAGCTACAGGATGGGGGAGGTAATGCTGCCCACCTCACAAATGGGGTAACAGATACAAAGCACTCAGGATGGTTCCCGGCCCACAGCAAGTGCCTGCAGCCAGGAACGCCGGCCATTCTTTCCCTTACCACCCCCTACCGCAGCAGCTGGCACAGAGCAGGAGTCCTAAGTATTTACTGAACAAATACAAATTCAGTTGCGGCTGAATTCACGATGTGTATACGTCTACAGAAATATGTCCTGTTAGGAAACCACTTACTAGAAAGGACAGGGTGGGGGGACAGCGACCGCAGAAGCAGCATTTTGAGAAGCCAAACTTCTGTACACACCTGGCTAAGGCAGCAATATTTCCAAAGGTATAAAACACTGCAAAAAGCTTTATGCCACCAGGAAGCCACAGCAATCCAGTTCCCTAAGTGAAGATATTACAGTTATTTAAAAATAGTTTTATCATTTGAACAGATTAAAATATAAATGCACTACTATAACGTAATAACAGGAGCATCTAAATCACCGACTACAACTCTCTTAACACACACTAATTTTTCTTAAATTATTTTAACAGTCCATAAAGCCTGTAAAATATTAATTTCTCCATCTTTTTACTGATCTCTACCCTTTACTTCAGGTGACTAGACACCCCGTCAAAGCCAGTCCAGAGTGGGCTGCGCGCGGAGGGCGAGGACTGCCGAGTGACACAGAGCAGGCGACTAAGCACAGAAGCCGGGACTCACGAGGATGGAGAAGAAGATGCCGCTCACGAAGCAGATGGCGAACCACTTCAGCCTGGTGCTGAAGCTGAGGGACGAGGCATCCAGGACCTGAGGAAGGAAGGGGCAGAACTCGTTTCTAGATCGCCACCTGCCGATCTGAATCTTCACACCACAGGGAGGCGGCGTTCCCCTGTAACATGTACAGTAACTCTGTTTACTCTGCAGTCGCAGGGTGTCAGAATCTCACGATCCGTGGTTGCGAAGGGAAACACAAACATGGTCCAGGAATCAGGTGGCCCTGAGACTACCTCTACCAGGTGAGGCAGCAGCATCGTGTTACAGCTTAAAAGGCTCTTACCTGCTGGGGACAGAAGCACGGATGTGGAGGAAATGTCCTAAGTGTGAGACGCATCACGAGATGCTCAGTTATTAGAAAAACGGGAAAGATGAAGGAAGACGGGCCGACTGCTGACACACACAGAGGTGGCGTCACGGGACACAGCCCTCTCTCGGCATCTGCGTCTGAGAGTGCTCAGGCAAAGCCCGACAGGCAGAGCCGGGGACAGGGCTTCTCCAGCAGGAACTGCTCCCGGGAGAAACCTTGGGAGCAGGGAGGGAAGCTGGACAGAGAAGGGGGGAATGAGCCAGGCCGTGGTCTGGCTGGACCTCCCATCAGCTGGTCACTGGCTGCCGGTGGGGGGCGGAGGGCTGGGGCTGGAGGACCTGCAGGACCTCCTTGTGCTCACACAGGAGTCCAGCTGCTGGGCCATGGGTACACCCGCCTAACGACAGCAACCTGGGGAGCCACCAGGAGTGTCCGCCATGGGATGGACACACTCCCAACTTCTGTTAGAAAAAGTTCACTTAAAAGCAACTCACAAAAGCCTTGGGCATCTCCTCAACCATCATTAAACACACACTTCGAAATGATAATTAATTCTAGAGCAACAGCATTTCTGTATGTCATGCAAATTCTGACCAAATTATGTGGGAAAAGCATACTCTGCATACTTTATACAATAAGCTGGAATACAGTAATGATTAAGTACACATTTCTGAAAATCAAAGTAGAGTTGATTTGCAATGCTGTGCTAGCTCCAGGTGCACAGCACAGTGATTCAGTGTTTTCACAGATTATACTCCCTTTGAAGTCATTACAAAATAGCAGCGGTGCTTCCCGGTGCTGGCCAGTATCTCTGCTGCTCGTTTATTCTATACACAGTAGTTTGCACCTCTTAACCACCCCCTCCCCGCTCCTCTCTCCCCACTGGTAACCACCAGTTTGTTTTCTGTATTTGTGAGTCTGTTTCTGTTTCCTCAGGCACGTTTGATTTTTTAGATCCTCCACAGAAGTGGTAACATATATATGTCTTTCTCTGTCTGACTTACTTCACTAAACACAATACCCTCCAGGTCCCCTCACGCTGCTGCAAAGGTAAGCACCTACTTAGATTACTGAGCACACTGTTGAAACTTACTTTCCCAGTAAGGCTGGCAAAGTAGTAACAAGAGCTCTTCCAATGAACTAGAAACACACAATAGAAGTTTATATTCCAAAATTTAAATTTCTAACATATTATCATATACTTTAAAATAAGACCACACGTTTATAATGTATTTTCAAGAATAATGAAGCAAAAGTGGAAAGTTCAATGCCAAAGCCCAAAATACCTTTTATATTCCTTACCTTAACAGACCAATCTGCGAATCCTCAGGAAGCATGAAAAGTAGATAAAAGCAACTAAATAAAGACTATCCATCACTTTTTAGCATATTTATAATGTTTTTTAAAATTTGCTTTAACCCACAGGCATTCTTGTTTCCAGCAATGTCATCTGTTCATGGTAAAACTGTGTTTTAAACAAAGAATGAACTTGCCTATAAGAACATCCAAATTTCATTCTTCCTGCTCAGGAAGAAGGCACATCGAGTTCATTTTAACTAAACAGAAGAGAATTGACCCTGCAGACCGATGTCGCACAGGAAATGACCCGCTGGTTTGTAAGAAGTGGGTGCAGGGTTCTAAGAAGCAGGGTTTCTAACTGGTCATGTGAAAACACAGTGACCTGATGACTTAACGAGAGAGGAGGAAGTGTCCGTTTTCACTTCCCCTTACAGGTCTACATCACCCCACTGTCCGCAAGCTTAGCTGGTGGCGTTCAGCATGGTTATCTGCACAGTGGGCGGCATTTTTCCTCTTATTACCACCTTCCAAGTGATGATCTTTAAAATGAAACATCTGACAAATTATCCCCATTTGTAAGTTTGGAATGAATATTCAATCCACAAGGAAACGACTTGTCTCAAGCCGTGAAACCGTCCAGGACATAGAAACAAATCACAGATCCCCAGACTCCTAACTGGGACAGTTTATACACTGTTCACCACTGCCCTGTCCACGTGGGAGACAGACAGAGCCCTGACCCTCCAAACCTGCTCTGGCAGGACCTCCTGGGGGCAGGAGCGACTCTCCCATTCTCCAGTGCTCTCCTTCTTGCTGCAATAAATCAATAAACATCACCTGGAAATAGTGAATTCAATTCAACTATTTAAAAAAAAAAGAGTTGGAAACAACGGAGGAAAGGGCCTTCACTGCAGCAACATCACCGCTGTGAACGAGCCCACGGCACAGGCTCGAGCTGCCTTTCTCCGGCGATGGAAGAGCCGGGGGGGGGGCATGGACGCCAGCACAAAGGGGACAGCTGAGGACATCTGAGCCTTGCTCCCCAGCTGCCACCGCTTGAATGCATAAAGGGAACTAACGAACTCACTGAAGGCAGTATTCCTGGAAGTCCTCCCTCTAAGTGACAGCGGTGTGCAGAAAGCAAAGATGTGCAGACGGTGAGCACAGGGAAGAGGCGCCCACAGACCCTCTCGGGGGCCGGTGTCCTGCTCCTCACTCGGCCCCCTCCCCTTACAGCTCGTCTGTAACCAGCCAGCCTCCTCATTTCTGTCACCTACCGCTCTCCTGGTCATTCTCTCTCTCAGGACCCACGACCACAGGCCCTACTCCTACCCTGGATCCTCACAGTCTCGGACGATTCCAGCATCCCCACGGGCAGCCCAGCCTTTCTGTTCCTCACCCTCCCTGCCACTCAGGGACCCAGGTACTCTTCACACCCGCAACTACTCCATCTCCAAAGTTCAAGTCATTGCTCTCCCCCTGCGAAGCCCTCCCAGCCGCGCCTGACTCCACTGCTCCTGCCTCGAAGCCTCTGCAGCCTCCTGGGCCCCTTTACTCACATTCCTTGTCGGTGGAAATGTCAGGGCACCTCCCTTCAGCAGGGCCCCTAAGTCTCCTTTCTGCGACCATCGGGCACAGTGACATCACGATGCCAGCCTTCCTCCCTCTCCTCTGGGCAGAGTCCCCAGCAGGACAGGGCATTGCAGCCAGGTCCCCATCAACTTGAAGTGGCCCGGACACCGCCTGCCTGGCCGCCAGAAGTGCACTGCTGGTCTGAGGCAGCCTGCCCTCTCCTTCCACCATTTCAACCATCCTCCCCTTCAACCTCAATTCCTGTGCTGACACTTCCCCTCTCAGCAGAAACTTCCCCTGTTTCACACCAAAAACGGCAACCGTCCATGGGAAGTCCCTGCTCTGCTCGCTACTCTGGGACACCAAGCTCACCTCGAGAACATGCACTCTCTTCCTGTCCTCAGGTCACCGCGGGGGCAGAGGCCAGCCTGTCTGCCCTCTGACCTCCCCAGGGAGCTGACACCAGCTCTCCTATCCACTCCTCGCAACCCCACCCTGCCCCCACCCCCTCCAAGAGGGAATGGTGTTCTGAGACTCCTTCCAGCAACCTTTAACCACTCGTAAGCCTCTTCCATCTTAAACAAACAAAAAGCTTGACTTCACCCTCCAACCTCAGCAAATACCCCATGAGCACTCCTGGGGGCCTGTTCCCAGTGCCCAGCGAGGAGTCTGGCCCTTGGTTCAAAGGGACAGGGAAGGGAGAGGGGAAGAGGCCGGGCCCCAGCAGGCGGGGTGCACAGCGCGGGCACCAAGGTCTGCACCGAGGTCTCCGGGAGGAGCTGGGGTCCAGGCCTGGGCAGCTGGTCCTGCCCTCTCACACCTGCACTCCCAGCCCTGGGTCTCCTTGTCTGCAGCCCCAGGCAGCGCCCCTCCCACACCTGCCTTCCTCCCCAGAACTATCTGACCCACTAACTATGTGACCCACGCCTTCCTCCTTGAAACACTCTTCTATGACCTAGCCCTCTCCAGGTTCCCTCCCTCCCCACTGGTTGCTCCTCTGTCTCCTGAGCTCCCCGCACTGGAAAGGTCCAGAGGTCCAACCGTGGGCCTTACCTCTTTCCTCCTTACCCACAATCCCTTGATTATCTCAAACACTTCCTCCCAGGAACTCTAGAATCTTAGGCCAACTTGCTCTCCTGACACCTCCACTCAGATGCTAGGTGGCATCTCAGACTTAATATCTGTATGATTTTCCTCCCCAGATCTGCTCCTTCCACATCGCAGTTAACGGTGACTCCATCTCTCCAGCTGCTCAGGTCAAACCCACAGAAGCATCCTTGGGTCCTCTGACTCTCACACATCCAATCCATCAACAACTGATCCTGCTGGCTCTTCACTCAAACCATGGACAGAATCACTTCCATCTGCCTGATTCAGGCCAGTCATCTCTCCCCAGGACTACTACACGAGTCCTCCGACCAGTCTCCTGGCTTCCACAGACCAGCCAGGGTGAGCCTTTAAAACCCATCAGTCATGCCACCCCTTGGCTCAAAACCCACTGGCTTCTCAGCACACTCGGAGTAAAATCTAAAACCCTTTCTAGGTCCTACGGGACCCCACGTGATCTGGAGCCCCACTTCCTACCTTCCCACCTCTCTCTCCCTTTGCTCCAGCTACTCTGGCCTCTTTGCTGGCCTTGAACATGTGAGCGCTCTGTTCTCAGGATCTGTAGCTGCTGTTCCCTCTGCCTAGGAGATTTTTTTTTTCCATGAGTTGCCCAGGTATCCTAGCGACTCTTCCGACCTGTGCTGTAATGTTACCCACCAGACAGCCCTTCCCTGACCATCCAACACAACACGGCAGCCCCAGCCTCCTCACCCTGCTCTAACTTCTCCCGTGGTATGTATCACTGGCAGATGTATTTTTATATGTACTCTTTATTATGTATTTCCCCCAATTAAAATGTAAGTTCCATGTGAGGGAAGTCTTTGTTTTCCTCACTGTTATAACACCAGCACCTCGAACAGTGCCAATCATACGTAGTTTTCAAAATACTTGTTGAATGAATAAATGAGCACCTCCTGTGAACTCACAGCACTTGTCCATTCCAGTCAATCACTCCAATCTTCCATCAAGGACTTCTCTGCATACTCTTTCTCCCCTCTAGACAGTGGGCTCAAGAAAAGTGGCACTGTCACTTTTATGTCCCCAAGGTTTAGAGCAGCTCAGTCCAACAGAACTTTCTCCAGTGGAATGCCCCACGCATGCACTGTTCAATGCGGCAGCCACCAACATATGTGGGTACTGAGCACCTGAAATGCGGCTGGTGTGACTGAGAAGGGAATTTTACGTTTTACTTAATTTTAATTAATTTAAACCTCAATAGCCACAGGTAACTACAGCTGTTGTTTGTATAACACAGATCTACAGCATAAAGTGAAGCACAAAATAGTAGTGCAGTGAGTGAGCTGGGCAAGCCACTGTTGCCTAATGGACATTCCTCGTATCACTATTTGTATGGGTTCTTGTGTTAACGTTATGATTTTCCAAACTGGTTATACAGCATTGAGTTCACTTAGAGCAGACGCTTGTCCTTTAGTTTCTGAACCCTCACAGATTAGTCCGGAACCCTGTTCACAAGAATCGTTGAATAATTATGACAACAAAGTAGGAAGTCAGGACAGAAAAAGAACCAAATACAAGATTCTTACGTAATACGTTTGATTTTAAAATGCTCCACTTCCGTAAGAGCCAAACAAGCATCTGCAGGCGTGCAGATAAGAAAAATACTTATAAAGCAGTTCCTGTTGCACTATTTTTTTTAACCCTCTTCCTTGATTTCCGCTTGGAGGAGGTACTGGGGATTGAACCCAAGACCTCTTGGGTGCTGAGCATGCGCTATACTGTTCCTCCATTTTTAACCCTCTTATCAGAGAAACCCTTATCACGGCTCGTGGGTAAAGCACGGAGACAACGGTTGTGTGTGTGTGTGTGTTGTTTTTTCTTTTAAATCTCTCAACAGGGCTCAA